CCTTTTATGCCTGTGCATTGAGAATAATGCACGACCATAAATATGATCATATATAAGTGCTAAATATTTATGTTTGCATACATATGCACATTAATAAACATGCACTGTATATATATGTTTGCACAGGGAGGAGGTGTATATACATAGAGACATAAATACACGTTTTCCTTGTGTTATACTACACAAAAAAAAAAAAAAATTCATCCTGCCCAGTCTGCCCCCTGCTCTGCTCACAGAGTTGTGTGTAGGACCAGAAAAGCCAGTCAGAATATAAGGGTGTGAGAGGCCAATAAGCCCTTAAGTGGTTACACGTGATTTATTTTCCTTTCAAGCCCAAGCAAACAAATCACAAAGAGGAGGTTGGTTAAAAAATACTCCCAGCAAGGTGCTCTGTAACCCCAGCGTCGCCCAGCGTGTCCTGGCAAGGGGTCAGGCTGTGAGGCTGCTGCTGGGGCTGTGCCTCTGATCAAGTATTTATGGCCACTGCATCTTTGCATAACATTTACTTTGCTTTCTTTAATGGCTTTCTCCACTCCTTTCCCTGCTCCTCGCTGCAAACAGCCTCAGTCAGCCCCAGCGATGATATCAAGAAAGGTTTTTCTTTTTTTTTTATGGTCCAGCCAAAGCGAGGTCATTCTAATAATACCCAAGGTCACTGGTGGGAGCCACCGAGTCTCCCAGTCATTTTTCATTTGCTTGCAACAGTTAATGACAGTCACAGGGATGGAGCTGGGAGCTGATGGCCATGTGATGTCACCAGCACATGCTAGGGGATTATAAGGGCAGGTACAGGGCAGGGTTGTGGATTAAAAATGATGGGGGAAAAAAAATCACTATTAACTGCTTCACTCCAGCAGCTTGGTGGAAAAAAAAATGAAAACACTACAGACAAAGGAGGGGATTTCTTCCTCCCACCCCCCTCCAAATCAGTCCCCTAAAATGCCAGCTCAACTGCTCCATTTTTTCCTGATTTAGTGACTCAGCTGGAAAAGATCTGTGGAGTGTGTGAGGGGAGGCGCTGCTTGCTGTACCAGCTGCTGGGCAAGAGGTTGCAAAAGCAACCTTGCAATTTCCTGGGGGCGTTCCTCTCCCTCCCACCCAAATCAGAGGCTTCATCCCTCTCCTCATGCTGCCAAGGGCAAAGCCTGTGGTGGCACCAGCAGGAGTCAGACCTACACAAGTTTTTGGACCTCTGGAGATGTTGTTTTTTGGTTGTTTTAACTCTTTTTTTTTTTTTTTTATTTTGCTGTCCACTTGGGAAAGAAAAGAACAAAAAGGAAGAAGATCCCTGGGTTTGATCCCCCCTGGTCTGGCTGCAGTGCTCTGTGGCTGGAGGAGCCCTGGGGAGGTGGGTATGGATTTAACCATGGGCACCAACTGTGATGTTCATGCTGCAAAGTGCCCCTCACACAGCCCTGGGCATCCTCCGAGCTGCCCTCGCCCCCAGGGAGTCACCCCAGGGGTCCCAGTCCTCATGTGTGGCCCAAGGTTTAAACCCATGGGCTGAAATATTACACCCTGGAAAGTCAGGAGAGTGCACCAGCCTGCAGGGACCAGGGGAAGAAGCTCCACAAATCAGCTAGATGCTAAATTTCTTAATAATTTAATAAATATTCTATTTAAATCAATAGAATATTTAATAAATAATCATAATAAATTATAAATATATAATTTAATAAATAAATAAATAATCATATTCTGCTCCAAAAGGTGCAGAAGTAATTTTTTAACCTGTAGGTTAAGTAATAGTTTGGACAAACTGCTCTTTCTCACTGAGAAATGAACTAAAAGAAAGATAAATTGCATATTAATCTTCACTCAGCCTCTCATCATTGAACTATTTTGTCTTAGTTATCTCACCTTATTGTATTTGTTTATGAAACATGACCTTCTCATAGCCTTTGTTTCTGCATTTTTATTCTTTTCTGATATATTAACTGTACAGTGACCATCAGTTTAATGTTTCATTATGGTCAACACATATATTTTTAAAATAATTCCATGGAGAAAGTTAGACATCAGTTGAAATCTTCATCCAGTGATTTTTATTAATTCAGTGTACAAGAGAAAAACATGGCAAACCACAAGAAACCAATTAGGACAGAAAATAAGTGACTGCTTTGTACAAACACCTAATTTCTAAAACCGTTTCACAGCCTCCAACCACTTATGAAGCTCTCACTACTAAGGTCAGTGGACTTTGGATCGACTCCTGTTTAAAGCAGAATGGATCAATGGATGAAAGGATGAGTTCAAACTGATGTTTTTGTCCAAAATACCCTGAGATGCATAAACACCACACTTTGTGTTTTCTGTGTTTGCTATCTCCTCTTAATGCTCATCCCTGCAAATAACTTTTCCTTCAAATCCTGTGTCTCATTTGGATGAGAAGGTAGAAACAGGTGCAGCTGGAGGCTGAATCTTCGAGCCAAATTCTGCTGCTCTGGCCGTGGCTGCAGTGAGCCCCTCTGAAGGATGCTGAGCTGATCCCAGCTCTGGGATGTTTTGTTAAGGATCTTCAGGTGTTGCCTGGTGGTTCCTGTCAGAATCAAAGGCTGCTGCATTTATTTCTTTTCCCTGGGAGGACACAAAGCTCCTCAGATGAGAAGAACGTGGCTCATTCTGCCTCTCTGCCTGTTTTCCACAGAAATGCCTCACGCCCTGTTTACAGCAGAGCCTGACTTGATTTATGGTGGTTAATAGGATTAGAGCATCAGCCTTTCTGGAGGAGATTGAAATGCAGGGGAAGAGTGCTACCGAGTTGCTGGTGTCTTTTTTCTCCTCCTGTGATGGGCAGAAGGACACACCTCCAAGCAGAGGGGATTTGTCTGGTGGGAGCAGGCAGATTATCTGTATCTAGTGAAACAAGGTGTGCATGGCAACCTTTGCCAAGGCTCAGAGCCAGAACCTACCCGCTATAAAATAATTGTGTCACTACCTAACCAAGACACTCTTCATGTTTCATTTATCTTTTGACTGTAATTGAATGGTTGAAAGGAAAAAAAAAAAAAAAAAAAAAAAAAGTAGACAAATTCCAGCTGCATTGAGATCTGTTTCTTTCTCTGCTACCATGGCCCATCATTAGATAGTTTCACTCTCTGTACAGAAGGTCAGAGAGTATAAATATAAATTGCATTTTGCATTACTTCTAGATGAGTGAAGCTGTCAAAGCAATAATATAAGCTTTCAGTCCCACATTCTACCACTTCTTTCCCATTTTTTGGCCAGGAGGTCATGTGCAAATTGAACGTGACAGCCCAGACGACATGTCCAACAGACTTATATTGTTAGACATTTGTGCCATGGCACTCACCACAAATTAAACCTACGTCGGACTTGGAGCTCTTCAAGAGCTGCTAACAGTAGCTCAGGCTTCTTGCAAAAAAGTTTATGTCCACGTCAAGCCTATGCAAGAATAACAGCAACTCTTTTGGAGGATCTTGTCGGCAAATGGAAAACACAAGGGGGAAAAAAATCTGACAGGTAAACCTGAAAGAGCTGAGCACATTAATGCAGACTTTAAGTTGTTTGCAAGGTGGGGAAATCTATGCTGTATATGTGTACTCTTCACTTCTGTCAAAACTCTCTCCTCCAATCTATTATTAATAGGTAATTTTTGGTATTTAGTGGATATTTTTGCTGTCAGCATTCAAAAGAGGGAGAGCAAACTCCTAATTTTCCACCCCTTTTTATACAAGCAAAGTTAATTTTGTGTCTATTGATAAAACAGTGTATAGAGCAGTTAAGACACTGTTGATGATTTGGAAATAACTGTATATTTATAGCATTGAAATCTGCATGGGCAGCTTCCACTAGCACCTATTTGAATGATGTAGTCTGAATTAATTTGTGAAAATAGATGCTACTGAATATTGTCTTTTCTATTAACTCAGAGCAGTTTTCTACAGAACACAAGGATGAAATTGAGGTTGTTGTCTTCAGCTGGAGTCAAACCAGGTGTCAAAGTACCTTTAGAAAGTTCTTTGTGCTGTGTACAATGCTGGAGAAAAGATAATGCTGAATGACAGTGAAACAAGATCGCTCTGGGGACAGAAAACCAGATTTCCAGCCCTTCACCTTTAGGTGTCTCAAAATGCAGCACAGGATCTGAACAACTGAAAATTCTTAGCATCTGGCAGTGGCTGCTGGCCCATGCTAAATAGAGAGCTGGTGGTCTTGGTCCAAATCTTGGCAGAAAGGAGTTCACGTTATAAATGCCATTATCTGGCAAATCTTTGCAGGAGTCTGAGCAGAGGGGCCAAGAGCTCACTTGGCACAGAACCTCCTCCTTTCCTCATGGCAGAAATGTTCTTCCTACATAAGGGCTGCGTATGGATCAAGAAAAGTCCCTGCCATTCTTGCTTTACCAGCTTCCCATGAATGAGCAAAGAACTTCATTTGCAAGGACTACCAGGGCTTTCTCTCCATTTTTTTTTTTTAGAATGACTAAAGTTAGAGTGAAGAGTTTGAGCCCCATCTGGTACGAATCGGTAGGGGCTTTGCAGGCTTCAGTAGAGCTCCACTGATTTACACCAGATGATGCTATTAGAGGACTGAACTATCCAACAATAATTATAAAAAATGTCTTTGATTATGCATGTGCAACAACTATTTATGTTTACATTGCAGAGATTTGCATGTAGCACAGTGGGGAGTATTTTATCTCTTGAAAACATTGCACCAGCATAAATAATCCACTGACATTCAAATGAGCAAAGAAATACCCATGTTTTACCACAAGATGGACCATAAAGGATGCTCTTCATGTGTCTTTTTCAAGCAGATTTGTCAATAATCCTCAACAGCGAAGTTTATTCTAAAGAAAGAAAGGTGGAAAATAAAGAAAAAGGTAAAAGTTATTCCAGGTGGTTACATTACAGATTGCTCTGAACTGTGGGTCTTGGTGCAACCAGGTGATCCTGCACTTGGGAAAGAGGATGGGGAAACCAGGGGAAAGAAGGACATCAAAAATGCCCCACAACAGTCAGTTCCATACCTCCTTTGACAGCATTCAAAGCAGATTTTCAAGGAATGTGAAGCGGTTCAAATCCAGAGTGAATTGGACACAAACCTATCAAAGGCAGAGATGGAGATAATCATGTGAAAATTGGGAGATTCTGCTGAAGTACCAGCCTGGAACAACAAACAGAAATTACCATTGGGGTAATTACACTGACATTTAAGCTTTCAAAACAGAAAATGCTTAAAATATGCAGTGATATGTTGTATCTTTGACTCACAAGAGGAAAGGGAGATGAAAGCACAGGTAATACTCCTTTGATGTTTGAACTGCATATTCAGGTCTCCTGCCTTGACTTCTGGGGTTTTTTTATTTGCTAATTGTGCTTTGGTAGCGCTTCGAAGGCATTAAATTTCTCAAATTAAGGCATGTTGCCCTACTCCAGATATAGCTTTCCTCTTGAGAGCAAGGGAGAGAAGCATTGCTGGCATTTTAAGTTCAAATGCCCAGCAGAGAATTGGAAGATCCACAGACATCATTTTCATGACCCTTTTTCACCTTTGCATGTTTCTGATGAGGAAAACCAGGGGATTCTCCCTTTTTGCCCAGCAGAAGAAGATTTTGTCCCATATGGGAGCCTGCAGAGCACTGAACTCACCTGGGTGGTTTGGCAAAGACTCCATTCTTTGTCCTTAAAACACATTGCCTCAGTTTCCCCATCAAAGGAGTGAGGATGTGATAATGATGAGCTTCCTCTTGGGAGCACTGTGAACAGTAATTTGTGATTTTATTAGCTCTTCCAAGATGAAATATGTCACATAAACGGTCAAAGTTATTAAAGTGGGCTTAATTGGCAAGGGCTTGAGAAGAATTTCTATCATAAAAAGGTGTCTTTGAACATGTGAAGGAGTTGGTGGACTTGATCCTGGCACAAGGCTTCCCTTTTGTGTGGCAGAGCAGCACAAGCCCAGGATGGCAGGAGAACCATCCCACCCATCCCACTGGGTCCTTAAATGAGGACCTAAGAGGAGAAGACAAGGTATATGCTCAGGAGCAGTGTGAGACAGAAATCCCAATTAATTTCTGAAGTAAACAGGGTGAAAATTATCTTCCCAAGAATCCTGGCTGCTCAAAACAATGTGAGAACATTAAAACCAGACCCAGATTCTGGCAGAGGAAATGTGACAAGGGGAACACAGGCTTAGTTGGGAGCTTTGGAGCACCAGTCAGATGGGATAAATCTACTTTTGTATCTTTGTGGATTTACTTTTCTCTAGAAGCAGAGCTCTATTTTGATGGCTGGTTTGAGGGAAAACTAAGATACTGTCATTAAAACCCAAATTGTAATCCTAGCAAATTAGCCAAACCTCCAGGCACTCTGCTCACCAGAATTTCCTTACCAGAGGAATCTGTCACTTTGTCACTACAAAATGAGGCCAAATTTTCAAAGATGTCTCTGCAATGAGACTCACAGGTCTGGTACTGAGCCATCAGGAGATTTGCATTCACAGTTTGGGTTTCCAACATGACAATAAGAAGTTTAACTCCAAACACAACTGTGTTGCACGAGTGCATTAAAAAAAAAAAAAAAAAAAAAAAAAAGTGAGAAAAAGCCTCTTTTCATTTTCTGGGACAAGCATGAGTAAACTAAAGTGACAACTGTGCTTTTGCTTTGCATTCAGGCTTCCTTTGATTTTTCGTGAGAGCTTGGACACCCAGAAGCTGAGTTCATAGGAGCTAATCAGGAAAATAAAAGATGTTTTAAAAACTTCTCCTGTGTTGAAATCAATGGATGTTGAGCACTGAAGTCACCTAATGGTTATGAATACCATTCTCCTGAATTTTTTTTCTGTTGATGACAGAACTGCCTCCAGATCCTTCGAGGGGATATAGATGTTCAAGATATTAGGGGGTACAGTGATGAATGGTAATGGCTTTAAACTGAAATAGGTTAGATTTAGATTAGATACTAGAAAGAAATTCTTCCCTGTGAGGGTGGTGAGGCCCTGGCACAGAGAAGCTGAGGCTGCTCCATCCCTGGGAGTGTCCAAGGCCAGGTTGGATGGGGCTTGGTGAAAAGTGTCCCTGCCCGTGGCAGGGGGGTTGCAAAGAGATCTTTATGGTCCCTCCCAACCCAAACACTCTAGGATTCTGTGGCTCCATGGTTCTGTGAGGATGAATCTCTTCTGAGAGCCTGAGTCCAGTCCTCTCTGCCAGCAGGGCCAGCCAGGGTAGGGTGGGTCACTGCTCACTCCCTGCTCGAGTGGAGGGGCTGAGGCTCTGCAGGGTACCAGGACCATGTGCACGTCTGAACAGAGCTGGGCAGCTTTGACATGGTCACAGACATCTCTGCACCAGCTCCTGCAGGCTGCCAGATACATCAAGTGTGCTTCTAAATCTGGTGTTTATTTTTCACTCGATTTTGCCCTCCATCATGATTTAACCAGCTGGGCACTCAGTGCTTCTCTTTCCAATTTTATCACTAACAGGTTTTGCTGTGGCTCAGTTTCTTCTGCACTTTATGCATTTTTAAATTGGTAGCTGCTTTAATGATATTTGCAGCTAATATGTGCTTCCCCTGAGCCACATCCCCTGCACTTACAGCATTTTATCAGATATCTGTGCCAGGGCTGCAGTGTCACAGGGTTTCATCTTTTCACCCTGCTAAAAGGGGAATTTGGGGTGGGCCATGCAGGGGATGCTGTCCCAGAGTACAGTGGCACAGCTGGGACAGTCCACTGTGGTCTGAGATCAGTTTTTCAAACTGGGCTCTGCTTCCTAATAGTGCATTAGGTGTGCACACTTATCTGTGTGTTTAAAGATATCTCATTATTTGTTTATGTATTAATTCATTGCATAAATTTTCATGTTACGTGATAAAATAAATTTAAAGCATTTACAAATTTATCAATCTAGCATCTTTTTTATTCTCTTCTTTCTCCTCTTCTTTACTGAATGACTAATAAATCAATGTTTAGGGAGCCTGTTTATGATGCAGAGAAAACTTGTGTTCAAACCTATTTATTTTTCTGCTTCACTCTGTGGATATCTTCACCGTGGGTCAATTTGTTTTTCTTCTGGGAGGATTTCTGCCTCAAAGGTTTTGGCCACAATGTCATACCTAGATTGGAGAAATCTTACAGTTTAACAGAAATAGTTGACATTTTTTAAAGCATCTTTACTTCCCAGCAGAAGAAATACATGCACATATGGGATTTAAGCTAAAAGTCTCAGAGTCTCCTCTGCCAGAAGAGTTTGTTAGGGCTGAGGGTTGGACGAGTCAACCACAACTTCTTCCCTTTCCCAGGAACAACATCTGTGAGGAGGCAATGCCTGGGGTGACAGGAGAAACAGCCAGGGAGAACTGACTCTTTAACCAATTCACAGTCACCACTTACTTCCCATGTCATGTCCTCTAATACAAAATTTTATACTGTTCATATTACAAGTCTTGATTTTTGGCATGATTTTTGAATTGTTTTTTTGTTTGTTTGTTGGGTTTGGTTTGGTCTGGTTTTTTTTTGTAGAATGAAGAGCTGCAATTCTTGGTATTATTTTCTGCAGCTCTAAGTAAAAAAACACACATTACTTTCTTAGCCCAAAGCATTCACTTTGCAGATGTCTCTTACCAGATTTGCTGTAATAAAGCAGTGTTGTTCTTGGGAAGGTTGAGGGTTAGTGAAACATTTCATGAATAAAATAATCCCTGATGTACAGGTGAGCACGATCAGGAATAGCCAATACTTCCAGCCACTCTTATTCATACCCATCACAGAAGCAACTCAAAGCACCAGTCCAAATTTCAATGTATGGGCGGAGGAGGTGCTGAGGAGATGGGGCTGAGCTGAGCACTGCGCGTGTCTGCTCCTGTGCAGACACTGTGTCAGCCAAGCCCTCACTGCCCTGCCCCGTCACCCCTCTCGAGCTGCTGCTCTGCTGATGCCCGACCCAGCAGAGCCAGCCAGAGCCAAACCTGGCCATCCTGAACGTTCCCACCGTGGCTCCCATGCCCCAGGGAGCTGAGGTGTCCCTGCCCCTGGCTGGGTGACAGGGCAGTGGCCAGGCCAGGCTCCCCTGGCTCTGCAGGGCTGCCCCGAGCAGGGCACGCCAGGTGCTGCAAAGGCACCGTGGTGGATCCGCTGCCATCTGCCCTTCTGGCCATGAGCACGGAGGCTCTTGGATGTGCCAGGGAGTCCTGGCTGCCAGAGCAATCCCTCGGTGCTGCTGACAGCTTGTAGGAGGGACAGGACTGTGTCCAGATGGCCCCAGATTTTGAGGAGCTACACTGAGAGATGGAAGCTGAACTCACCCCTCCCGTGGCAGTGGTGGGGGCTGAGAGCGTTTTCTTCTCCCGTATTCCCCATTTCCTGCTCCTGTCATCTGCCATCCCTGACAGCACCAGCACTGACAGTGCCACCCCGTCACCAGGCAGGCTGGCAGCCATCCCCACCTCCCCCAACCTGCACCGCCTGCCACCTTCCCCACCTCCTTCTGAGGGCCAGCCTGGTCTGCTGTGTGCCCCTTTCTGTGTCTCCTTCCCCACCACAGCCTCCCGTCTGTCTGCCCATCCCAAAAACCAAGTGACAAATCCCTGTTCCCACCATCCTCCAGATACCCTTTCCACTGCTTTTTTCCCAGCCTTCAGCAAGGCCATACTTCTTACCCTCACTTCCCAGATCCAATCTTCTTCCTTCTTTCACATATTCCATTCTTTCTTACCATATCTCAGTTTCTTTTTCATCAGTGATGCCAGCTTGGATCTTCTGTTTAGCCACAATTTGTACTACTGCCTCTTTTCCTCCATTCCCCAAATCCTCTTTTCATGGCATTCCTGCATCAGAGTGGGTAGTCCCTCTTTCCCATCACTTCAGAAATGGTACTGAGGTGACAGCTTTTAAAAACATTGCCAAGACCATAACGGATAGGTCAAATGTAGCAGAACATCTGTCTCTTAAGTTGTCCTTTAATTTAAAATGGACACTGGGAGTTTTTCTTCCTTTGAAATTTACCCTGTTAACACTTTGGGATTAAAGGAGCACTTGCATTGATGTACATGGATTCCGCTTAACAAGGCACTTGTTTCCATGCAAAACAACCCCACAAAAGCAAGCAAAGTTTACTCAGATTTGGTTTTATTTGGGATAGATTTACTGGTGGGACCAAGGCGATTGCATCCCTCTTCCCTCACTAGCAAACAAGCCATGGATTCCCAAGAGGAGGGATGCACCCCCATCTCGATAATGGTGACATTCAGGCCCATTTGTGAAGAAAACCTGCTCTTTGCTGCAAAAACAGCCCTCTCTCTCAAAGAGTAATTTACTCAAAGAGTAATCTCTTTGCTCTGGAAAGTATTCTTTGTTTCTTCATGACTTTTCTTTTGTCTGCCTGTAACTTACCACCTCCTTCCTCTTCTCACCAGTCATCTTGTCACAAGTGACCACTGACAATCAGCCCAGGCAGCAACTTGAATTGGATGGCAACGTTCTGAATAGGCCTGGTGGGTTTTTTCCTAATTTATACTCCTATTAATTTGCCTGGCAGAACCATGCAGCAGCTGATCATCAGTATGCCTTGATGCTCAAATTACTTGAGCAGTGTTGGTTGGACCAGAGAACTTTACCTGGTTTATGATTGGGAAGTTCATGAGAGCCCCTGTGATTGATACCCTGTGTGCATCACCACTCTTGACGAAAAACACAGCAGCTGAACTGGGTGGGGAAGGAGAAATGCCCCTAAGGTAATGCTGAGGCCACATCCCCTCTTTGAGTACTGGTTTTGCAGCAAAAATCTACTCTGAAAAAGACATAAGGGGGTCAGAGAAATTTTCTAAATGCTGTAGAGGAAAGAGCAACTCTTCTTTTGCCAGGTTTGATTTCCAGAGAGGCACATACCTCCATTTTCCTGTGTACATGTGTATGCACAAACACACACCTGTGCCCACGAGGAGAAATGTTCAGATCTCAAAGATTTCAAAGACACAGTAATTTCTTACCAGGCTTTAAAGGTCCAAAGCAGCACAAAAATCTCAGAATCAATCAAATGACTGCTGAAGAAAACTTAAAAATGCAAGAGATAGACACCAAAGAAAATGTTAACACTTTAATATTTAAACCAACTCTTATTGTATGCAGTACTCAATGCCCTCTGACGCTTCCTGTGGCAAAGGAAAAATTTTTAAAAGTTGAAACTGAGACTGCCAGGCAGAGTAAAAATAAAATGCTGCTTGTGGCACATTGCTTGGTGTGTGTGTGAACATCACACCAGGCCAGTGACCCTGAGAGAGGCTTGTTCTGCTCATTCACATTCCTCCAAGCAGCTGTTCCCAGCCCCTGGCCAGGGAAGACCTTGTGGTCCATGAGGCAACCTCCAAGTGACCGGGAGAGGCAGCAGCAACTGGCAGCTCTGCAGTCAGCAGGAAGCGTGGCAGGGGCTGGAAAAGTGAAATGGCTTGAAAAATCCTGCTGTATGGGAAGAAAACAATTTAACTCTTTAGTTCTAGTTCCATTGCTAGGCCAGGATAAAGCTATGGGACAAGCTGTTGAAATTACACCCACAGAGGGAGAATCCTTCCAAAGGTGCAAGAGCACCCAGAGTGCAGCCTCAAGTTTTATAGATGAGGCATTCAGCTGGCAAATCTACCTTTTATCACATTCACTTCTAATGCAACCACTTTGCCACAGTTAATAATTGTTTCCTAGGCTTTGTGGGGCCCTCACATGAAGAGCAGTTTGTGGGTCAGGAGTGGCTGCTTCAACCCCTCCTCGCTGGGAGCCCTGGGAGGATGAAGCCGTTTGTGTGTGCTTGGATGTCCATGCGTGGAGCAAAGAGAAACCTGCTCTGCAAAGGTACCTCCAAAGGAGGATTCCTTCTGCCCCACCCTCCTGGTCAGAAATAGGCTTAGAAAATGAAAGCAGAACTGCTTTTATTGCTGCAGGTTGACTTGACAGCCCCTGATGAAATCATGCCCAGCATGGACCAAAGTGACACCCAAGTGAGGTCTGCATTTTAACAGAATAGAGGAGGAAGGGATTCATCTCTCCCTTTGCTTCAATTTCCACTTCTTTCTTTTTGGATGCATCTATTAAAAGTGAAAGGTGTTTGATGTGTGTAAGCAGCTGCTTGTCTGGCATAAACCATCCCAGGATTTTTGAGTCACTTATGATAATCTCCAGGACCTGGCCATCACGTATTTTGTGAAGCATTCAAGGCAATACCTTATACAAATCTTCTTTCTAATTTAATCCAGACCAGTTGAGACTGGGTTACATTCAGAGCAGTGGAAATCTGGTTGAATAGCCACCATCAAAGTCGAGCAACAAGGGGAGCAAATTACCAAATCAGCAAACTTGGGGCAGGTGTCCCCTGGAGAAAGGCTGTGAGCTTCCCTTTAAAGGCTTATTTTGTGCAGGGGAAGACTTCACCTCCCAGAGTAGCCGTTCTGTCACAGATTAATAGTCTCTTTCCATAGCAACACCTGACCCTTTCCTCCCCTTGCCTTGATTATACATACATATATACATATATATACATACAGACATATTCCCTGTCTAGGGAAAGAATGGACAGCTGACAATTTTCTGTGGCATCAGCACAATTTAATGAAAGGGAAGCTTAAAAAAAAAAAAAAAGAAAAAGAGAGAGAGAAAGCTGGAATGCTACATCTAAAAAAAGAAATATGCAGAGTCACAGGATCTGCAACCATGTCAACAGCACAACAAGGTGTTATCAGGGGCTTCAGACAGGAGCCTGAAGTTTCCTGAAGAGCCTCTACTACATCAAGGATTGAACAAACGTGGGTGACAGCACTTTGGAAAGTGGCCACCGCTGGGGCAGCTGCAAGGATGTCCAGGAAAAGGCAGATGCCTGCCTGGCCCCTCTCAGGCAATGCTGTAAAACTCGGTCTGCAAGTGCCTGGCTAAAATCCCAGCTGAGCTTGCATCATCTCTGGCCACAGCCTTTCAGATGAAAAGCACACACTCGGGGTTAGGAGCAGAGACATCTTTCCTGGCTTCCTTCAGCCCGTGGTGTGCAGGATGGCTGGGACAGAGCTTGGCCTCTTGCCACCTCTTACAAGGAGGAAAGCACAAATAAAAGCAAAAGCCCTGCACCTAGAATAACACAGTACATGGGAATGAAGTGAGTGGGAGCTGGAGAGGAAATTCTTTCCAGAGAAGGCTTCATTAATAATACTGTATTTACAGGAAAAGTAATTTTGCATAAAGAACTGAAGGGTTTTGTTTGCAAAAACTGAATCTGTGCATGAAATCAATGCATGTCCAAAGAGGAAAGGGTCCTCAGGAGGTGCTGTGACACCATTCAGAGTCCACACAAAGCTGCTAATAAAAATCTCAAGGAGGTTTTATCAGTCCCTTGATAAAGCAGCTGGCACAGGAGAGTGTCCACCAGCACTGAGCTTCGGACCAGTGCAGGATGGGTGACACTGAGATGTTCTCAGGGGGACAAGGAACGTGTCCCTCATGCCTTTTCACCCTGTTTGGAGGTGGTGAATCCTACAGGAAAATGCTGGGGTAAAAGCAGATCCCCTGACCACGTTAACAGAGAAACCAAATGCTTTTAGATCTCATGGAGCTAGTGAATAAAAAATAAAAGCTTGCACAGGAAGACAAGATCATGTTTAAGGAATCCAGTATGGAATGGATCCACATCCCAGGGAGAAGGGAACTTGCAGGTAAATTGGAGGCTGGCAGTAACCCAAAACTGCTAAAGAGCACAATGCAAAGCATCGAGTGCCTGCTACTGATACTCCAGTGATCTGATGTGAAGAAAAGATATTGCCCTGGGGAAAAAAAATCATTCCTAGAGGCCAATAGATTAGGTAGTGTTTGTTCCAGCTGTGAGGAGCAGGAGGCAGCCTATCAACATACCAAAATATCTTTGCATCTCTCATTAGAGCTGATTATTTTTTTCCCTTTCTTTTCCCTCTGATGAAACAGATGTCCAATTCATCACATCTGAAACATTTTGTTTCATCCCCAAAGATCTGGGCTCCTCACCCTGGGGCAGTTCCCTGCTGAGGCTGTCCCTGTGAGCTCGGGGGCCTTGGGGCTGTGGCTCAGGAGGGATTCCTGGGTTCAAGGCCCTGCAGCAAAGCCAACAGGCGTGTTCCAGGGGAGGCTGAAACAAAGGGGGTTGAAATTCCCAATTTGTTAACCTTATGGACCCTCCGAGGCTGCTCACAGCCATGGGAGTTAAAAAGGATGGGGAGAGGTGAGGGAAAAAAAAAAAAAAAGACAGTGCATTCCTTGCTTGATGCTATTATCCCAGGGCCTTCGTGGCTGGGGACCACTGGGACAGAACAAAGAGTGGCTGCAGACATCAGTGTGCTCTGATGGAGGGTCCCACCTGCTGAATGAAGCACAGATTTTTGACTTTTTAATCCCAAATTCAGTCAGAAGGTTATTAGACCCATGACCACTGGACCTAAACCAACAGCAGGCCCCTGACTGATAATTTCTACCGATTACATTGATGAAATACAGGATTTCTTTGAAGCCAATGCATGTTTCTGCTCTTGCCATACACAAACCATCCTGGAAAATCACATGTGATGCATTCCCTGTGCATTCCTCTGGCATTCATGTGCATCTCCAATGAAATAAATTCCACTAAAGTCAAAGCCAAGCTACGTTCAGCTGCATTGGAGAAATAAAAACACACTCACCTAATGTGCAAAAAGCGCTTCCAAATTAACTAAAGCTAAAGAAGCTCACAGATAAAACTTCTATAAATAAGATTGAAATACTTAAAACCTAGAAAGAAATTGTTAGCAGCAAAATCTGGTGGAGTAAGACTCTCACCTTACTCTGTGTAAGCTCTCAACCTTGCAGCTCAATTAAGGGTTATCTTCTACAAAGATATCCAGACCTGATGTTCAAGCCTAAAGTAAAAAATAAACTTACAGGGTCCTTCAAAATAACAGTTTGAATTATATTGTTCACCTTTTAAATCCTGATAATTATGACACTTTTAAGACTGGGAACTGAGGAGAACAAATTATAGCCCCGATGTTGAGCTGCAATTCCAATTCAGCATCTCCTCACTGCAAGTCTCCTCACAGACACACCTACTCAGGCTCTGCTGGCCTGGTATTTCTGTATTTTTTCTTTGTAGAAAGGTGGGAATCAGTAAACATAGGTGTAAGTTAGTATAATCACCTTAAAAGGCTGAGTTGTTTTTTAATTTCTCTAAGGTTTTCTCTTTTTTATATCATGTATTGTGCTGAGAACAGGAAAGGTTTACCCACCTGGGTGTCTGTAAACTTTCCCGGGGACTGTGTCAAGCTGATTTTTACATACTCCCTCCTGGAGAAGACCCCTCTACAGGGAACACTAAATTCAGATTTACAGTAGGGAATATAAGAACTAAATTAGAGTTCTCACGAGTGTAAAATAAGGATAATCACAAGAATCGTCTCCAGCTCACTCAAGCCAACAAAGTTTCAGTCAGAAGGCAACTTTAATTTGGTTTATCAGTTCCCATCACACCCATTAGGTAGAGTCATCAGCGTGGGGAGGGAGGGAGGGAGGGACCGCTGCCCTCCGCGCCCCTCCGCGCCCCCCGAGCCCTCCCTGGCCGCGGGCTCAGAGGGAACCGAGCATCCCCGGGGCTGGGAGGGCGCGGATGCTCCGCGGATGCTCCGCGGATGCGGGACCCCCGGCAGGGCGGGTGAGGCACGGCCTGAGAGTGCAATTAGCATTATCTTGATGAATTTCTAGGCAGCGAGTCCTTGCTGTGCCTTTCAGAAGTCGCAGGGCACTCTGTCCCCATCTGTTCCTTTATGATTATTACTTTACCTTTTTTTTTTT